CATCTTCAACAATTCACTAAACCTGTGTAGACTGGGTACGTACCTTGTGTGGGGCACTTGGGTGAGATTGTTATTTCTCTACCTTTGTACATCGGATTATGATTTAGTGGATTGGATGCCTATGTGATCGTCCACCAGACGTAGATACACACTGTATCGAACTGGGTAAACATCTTGTGTGTTGGTATCTCTTTCTTTTATCTTTTTAACGATCTATCTTACTGACTGACTTTGTCGATAAATTAGTCAGTCTATTTCATCAGTCAATTAATCCAGTAATCTTGATATAGAATGAGGAAATGCAAAATTACAATATATATATTATTTGTGTATACATATCAATATATCATATATGTGGGTGTTAGCTTAATATTATTTGTAAATTATTATTATATAAAAATATAATTTTATTATTTTTTTGGTTTTGATCACTATATTATTCAATATATGATAATTCAAAAGTATCATCGCTTTAAGGAATTGTGAAACATAATTTTAACTAATTTTTTAAATTTTGTTACTTAACAATATTTTAATATTGGGCATAAGTTTTCGCGCATCGCGCGTACAGAATGCTAGTGTGTGTGTGTGTGTGTGTGTGTGATTTGTTGTGTGATTTGAATACTCTCGTTGTCAACAAAATCTCTCAAGTAGTTAATATGGTTGACTTTATTAATTATATTTTTTTAATTTTTTCATGGTATTAATAAAATACTTGGTAAATAAATATATAGCATTATTTTGCATTATAACTTTGATATTTAATTAGAAAAATAGTGCACAAAAAAAGATAATAGACAATGTAGTGAATATAATCAATTGATGAATTTGAATGTAAAAATTTTTACATTTGAGAAAAATAAAGACAATATAACTAATGAAAATATTTCTTTTAATTAATTTATTGATAATTAATAAATTTTTTTTCACTGAATAAAGACATTGTAAGGATAATGTAGCGAATATAATCAATTAATAAATTTGAATATAAAGAATTTTTATATTGAAGAAAAATAAAGACAATATAACTAATAAAATTATTTCTCTTATTTAATTGATTGATAATGAATAATTTTTTTTTTAAATAAAGGCATTGTGGACACATAATTCTAAATTAAAGAAATGCATATGTATTATTTTTTGTTGTAACTACTAAATTATTATTTATATAATTTAATAAGAGTAAAATAGAGTACTAATTATGCCAACTTTGATTGGGATGAGATTCGAACCTAAGACCCTTTTTTTTATTTATTGAAATCAATGAGTAAGTTAACGGTGAACTAAGGGCAATTCTTAAAATTTTAACGGAATTAGTAATGGTGTGTGGGTATTTTAGAAAATTTTAGTGTAAAATTTTAAATCTGATCAATCTTTTAATTAATTTGAGTCATTCATTTGATTTAAAATCTGTGATCGCCATTTTTTCTACCCCATTATAGGCCCTAACTCTCTTGGGCTCTTATATTAGTATAGTAGATATATGCGCGTGTGTGTCAACTCTTCCACTCTTTCCTGTTGAATCATGAGGATATCTATTAAAAGTTATTGTTGAAAATGGGTCATAATTTTATATGCTTTGAATGCTCCGATCACAAAGTCAATAGTTTCTGCAAAATGGACAACACCACCATATATATGCATATATCCACTTGTGTTTTCTAATGGGACAGCCCTGGAGTGACAATGACTTCAATGAGATCCTTGCCTACCTCTCTCTATCATGATGAATCATTAAAAATACTTGCCCCTTTCTGGTGATCAAATTGGTGAAATATGATTCTCGTATTTAAACATTACAAATTTAATTATTGCCAACACTTTTTCAGCCGATCCTGTCAAATAAGCTGTCCTAATACAATTTGTATCTCATGTGTGATTTATACGCTATCACATAGAAACAGAATTTACCAAATTCACACTCTCGGGTAGTGACTCCATTTTTCCCCTCTTTACCCAAGAAAAAGAAAAAAAGAATCATTAAAATACTTGCAATTTGTGCAATGACTATAATCTTCAATTTGTACAATATATATAATCTTCAATTTGTACAATATGACTATAATCTCTTGTTAAGAGTTATTTTTTTGGTGAAAATTATTTGTATAATCTTATGTCAAAAGATTTAGGGATTTTGTCATTTCAATAAACTTTCATCATTATTGTTGTATTCTCCTACTTACATTCATTCATATTTACTCAATATAACGCAATTAATTAATTATAATCATCAGTCAAATAAAAAATTTTGGTCACACAATAATTATATTCTATTTATTTCATTTTATATGTTATATTTACTATTCGCTAGTCAAATTAACGTTTTTCTTCTTTCTTTATTTTCTTTAATAATTTCTTATCACTCTTAAATTTAATTTTTTATACTTAACAATACTTTTAATCTAATTTCTACTAATCCACATGATATCCCAACTCACCCAAATTTTCTTTTTCTTTTCCCTATCCATTTTGCTCCGAAATCTGTCAATTGCCACCTCTACATAAGATGCATCTTGTTAAATCTTCTCCTAAAAGGTTGAATCTCTTCAATCCTAATTTGACAAAAGCATTTTGAAAGGATGTAAATGTGCGCACAAAGGATCTGCCTACTTTGGACATAATCCTCACACTACTGTTACGAAAGTTCAAACATGATCTCTTTCCCCAAATACTGCATACTGAATCAGTGAGTTAAGCCTTAATCGGACAGCATCTCGTTAAATCTTGTCATATGAATAATGAATTGTACATGTAACATGTACTTGATGACATTATAGAAAGAAAAGAAAGAAAAAAACATAAAAAAAGTAATCTCAGACCTTAGCTTCATCACCATATATATAAATATAATGCTTTCCGGGAAAATCTGTGAGCAGACCACAAAAAGAGGAAGAAGAAGAAGAATGAGAAAGGACAGATCCTATATTATATTCAAAGCTTCGGCAAATGTGCCAAACCCACATGCTGAAAAGAACACATACTGCAGAGACTAGAGAGTATTTTCTTTTCATTGAAAAAAATAGCACTCTCATAATAATACCCATCAACTTTTCTGTCCTTTTTTATTTGAGGGTATCTAAGATTTTCGCCATCTAACAAAGTAACTAATTCTTTTACTAAATTGTAGACATTTTTGAGTGGAATAACTAACCTAGAGGTTTTTGCTGAATTGTAGGTATTTTTTGAGTAAAATAATTAATTTGAAGATTTAAAACTGTTCCATACCTAAAGTCAAGGATTAACACCTTGACCATTAGTTAAGAATGAGTGAATTCCTTCCACTCAATCTCACCCCTAGGTTATCAACTTTTCTTCTCTATCTGTTGCTTCACATGCATGTGGGAAATTGGGCTAATACCCTTCTGTTTTTTTTTGTTTTTTTGGGTGTTATGGTTCTTGAAATTTTTGATAGTCGGATTAAACTCCGACTAATTTTTTAAGTTGAGCTATTGTTAAACTTTATTTTAAGAAAGTGTTAAGGTGGTCTACTTGTATTTACAGAGCTGGAACACGAGACGTTATTTATGAAAAATCTGAGGTTGTTGGGCAGCATTAGTTGATCTGGCACCAAATTTCAGTTTTGGTGTTACATACATCACCATCTATCCTTCTCATACAGACCATTTGGTTCCTACAAGCTAAGGTAGATGTCTGCACTTGTTGATTGCAACCAAACGCACTTTTGGTAGACCAAAAGGTTTGGTACATGTTGGTTGAGAGCTAGAGACAATAATGTGTTCAGGTAAATAGGTAATATATAGCTCTCCACCTGCTAATTCTCTAGAAGGGAATCCTACAACTCATATACAGTTATACACACACTTGTGTAAAAGTTAAAGAGCGAAGACCAATAAGTTCATATCAATGAAAGTTATAAGTTAATGAACACTATTTACTTCACTTTTTTGTTTTTTCATTCTTCTTAGGTTGAACTCCAACTCTAAGACTTTTTTGTTTTTTCATTTCACCGGAGACGGTGACGAGAGAGAATAAAATCTAAGATGGAGGTCAAAAGAGTTATAATTCAAGGAAGAAAGTAGAATTGTTTATTTCACTTCTAGTTTCTATTTCACTAGAGATAGTGATCAAAGAGAATAAACGAAAGATGGAGGTCGAAGAAAGGGGGGAGAAATGAAATTGAATATGTTGTGACCAAGATTTGGCGACCCTAGAAAATAAAACTAGAAATGAAATTGAATATGTTGTAATCAAGATTCGATGACCTTAGAGAATAAAACTAGATATTGAGAACAAAGAAGGAAGAGGGAGGAGTAATCATTGTACCATAGACTATTGGCATAAGATTTACTTTTAATATATTGTTATTAAAATTCGGTAACTCGAGATAAAAGAAAACTAGAGTCAAGGGCAGAGAAGGAAGGGAGAGGGGTAATGATTATATTGTAGACCACTGATTTACGATTCATTTTTAATATATTGTCCATTTTTAGTGTATTAAAGGTTCAAAAAACTTTCAGTACACTAAAAGTGAAACTTAAAAAATAAGCATTCAATGTACTAAAAATGAATCTTCAATATATTAAAGGGATAAGGGTCAAATAGACCCTTTAACTATAAGCCAAAGTACAATTAGCCCCATAAACTAACAAAAGCTTCAATTAGGCCCTTCATCTCTTTACTTGTATGCAATTAAGACGCATAACATGTTAACTATAGACACATAACATGGTAACTACAAAACACATAACATGGTAACTATAAAACACATAATATATTGTTAAAATATTATGTGTTTGCAGTTAACACATGTTGTAGTTAACATATTATATGTCTTCAATTTATTTACAGGCACATAAACTATTAACTACAAGTACATAATATATCAATTGCATGGACATAATTTTTGGACCAGAATCCACAATACAAGATAAACCCTAGTCCATGGTATAACAATTGATAGTAGGTTTACCCAACCATTTTTCCAAATTGGAAAAATGACAAGTAAACATATTCTCCCTAGTTAATAAACATAGTTGTAATGTTTCATAAAACAAGTATATATTATTTCTCTAAAACTTATAGTACATGTTCTTCATAACCTAAATGTATAAAACAATAGAAGCATAACTTTTTGTAGGATTATTCTAGGACCCCTTTTCACCCACAACAAACTCCATCAGCCCAATTCAACATATTTGGTTTACATAGATATATATACTCCAAAGTCCAAAGTAACTGCACCACCACCATTTCTTTTGCATGTATACAATGTAAACAACATCCCAACATTATACATTTCTATGAAATTAAGTATGCAAACTGAGTAATTTTCACTTCCAAAGGGAATGGTTTACATGACTGGATTTGGTGGATCCCTTCCAAACCCCATCACTGCATGAGTTGCCAGCATCGAGGCTCTTCGAGAGAGCTCGAACATCCTCCCAACAAGGGGTAGCGTCACCGTGTTCTGGTTCCGGAGTGGTTTCTTATCCCAACTGCATAGATTTAACTTCTTGTTATACACATATGGTGGAAAATGGATTGGAGAAGAAGAGTTAATACCAACTGAAGTCCTCCGAGTATAGTGACATTGTCACGTTAAGATATGGTTTTAATTTTAATGCAGCAGCTACTAAAAGATTAGTCGTAAAAGTAGATCGAGGAGGCGTATAGTATACCAATCTTCATGGCGAACAACCTTTCCTCCATCAGTGTACAACTTGATGAGCGATACCATATGGATGTCTCTACCCATGAACTTGTAGTATTGCTTGTTATCAATTAGTATCTGAAACATAATGCTCCAGAAATTTCAGAACATTTTAAGATAACCAGATTGAAGAAAGCTAAAGGGGGCGAGGGATAGCAATTCCGGACCTCTTTCTTTCCGGGAGATATCTCATTCTCTGTCAAGCTGTATTCTACAATTCTCGATTCACTGAAAATCTGAAATATTTGGAAAGAAAGAATTAACTATTCTACACACGTACATTATGGAATTCCTTCTAGACTTACATGTTAACAACTTTCATTATCATATCCTAGCTTCGACAATTCAGTTCGTATGTAATATAATTCATATATGAATACGGGGTCGCCACTTTGTCAAGCAAGAATAGATGGGGTGGGTGGAAAACTGATTATACCTTGCCAAGTGAATAGAATGCGGATTTGATTTGGCTTACCCTGCAAAAATGAGCAGTACATATAATTCAATATTCGTGCTAATTGCTAAATATATAAATTTTATATACTATGAAAAACTGAATTAAAAATAATTTCAGCCAAGCCTGTTAACCGAACCAGGACGGTGGGAGTATATCTTAAGAACAGCGTACCCCTGTGCACACATAAGAGGATCTTCAAAGGTTGCATCAGGAGCATAAATTTCAAAATCTTGAGGCGTGGCACGTGATGCATAGCTGAAATCAATTTTAGCAGATCAGAAAAATTATAAGAGAAAACATATGGATTTATAAGGCCATGTGTTAGATTAACTAATTCATTGGATTCAACTTTTTAGTGTGGTTTGACTTATGTGCATTATATCCCAGTTGAATGACCTTGGCCTCTTTGGTATTTTCTCACACAATATAAAAACTTACTCAAATGGAAAACACTTCTCCAAAGTGGATGAACACTAAACCTGTGTTTTCCAACTTATTTTCTAAATAGAAAACTACTCAATTTTCCAACTTTTAGTAGAAAAGTTGGAAAAATAGTTTCCATTTCCCAAAAGTGAAACAAAACCGGGCCTTTAAACTTGAACACAATTTCCATTTTTCTTGGAAATTGGAAAGTTTTCCAAGTCACTAAACATGCTTGAAACTCTGAATTCCATGTTTATTAAGAGCAACAAGACATGTTAGTAGACATTAAGATTACTGAAGCAGAAAGAGTCAATGAATGCACTTAATTACATGATTAATATCCATAATTACAATAAATAACTATAATGAACTCAACAAACAGCATTTATATAACAGACAATAAGGGAGAAGAAAAATCCAATTCAATTCATTCTCTAAAATTATGAAACAAAACTTACAGATTGAAAATGCGAGGGAGTATATTGTCAGAAGCACGCCCTGGGTCTGAAGTATTGTACTCGCGGCTTTCCTTGTAGTACCCTTCTCTCAGCTGATCCTTTATGGACTCTGAAGAAGAAGAAGAAGGAGAATCTTGAGCAAAGACAAACCCAAAACACAAAATCACAAACAGACCCTGTACATTAACACCCATCTATCACTTCTTGACAGAAAAAGGGTAAAAAGATGAAAACTTTTTTGAGGAAAGGAGAAAGAGAAGGTGGCCTGGGGGGTTTTGATTTGTGAACCTTGTGGGGTTTTGTCCATGGTGTTATTGAGCTTGCTGGTGTGAAGCAATGGTGGAGGAGCGCAGAGGAAGGAGGAGAAAGATCGCAGCAGGTGAGAGACGCCACGTGGAGAAAGCTTGGCCATTTGTAGGCTGGTCTGCCGGCGCACTTTTTACACTTAGATTTTTTATATTTATTTTTTCTATTTTTTCACTTCACTCACCTTTGTGGCTTTGGCCTTTGTGTGTGTAAGTGTGTTTTTTAATTTCTTCCCCTTTTGTGTTGGTATGTGAATGTCATATGTGAATTGTGATGAGATGATTAGCTACTTGTCTTAATGAGCTTCCCTACTTTTGATTCACCATTTGAATTCTTTGGATGATCTTTTCAATGATTCAACAATCAACTTGCTCCAAAAATTTTTAATTATATAACGCGAGCCTAACCCAACCCTTAAACCACAATAAATTTCAAAATCAAATTTTAATTTTATGACTTTATTAAGTAAGTATGCTCTTGTTGAGAGTTGAACTCAAGACTTCCCACTTACTAAACGGGTGCTCTAACCAACTGAGCTACAAGAGCTATATTTAAGGAGATCATTATGTAGTTTTTGGGGCATTAATGACAGAGGTTCGTAGAAAGAATACTTTCTTTTTCTACGAGAAAATAGTACTTGGCCTCTCATTTTGATGTTAACATTTTCCTTGGGACCCATAGGATATAGATAATATAACTTATCATCTCTTGCCACATCTTGGAGTAAAAGTGAGGAGTTGAGATTGAGAGTCCATCACTACTGGAAATTCTGAAATTTCCGACCACCTGAAAGTGATCATAAATCAAGTTGAAAGTCTTGTTCCGACCACTTTTGATATCCGGAAAAACCTTTGTTGCTATTTCCGACCACTTTTTGGACTTTTTGGTATCAACTTAATTTAAGATCATTTTCAGGTGGTCGGAAATTTCAGAATTTCCAGTAGTGCATGTATACATATACTCTCTCTATCCCATTTTATCTGGCATACTTAATATTCATTGGTCAAACCAACTATTTCTTTTTTTATTTATTTTCTTTAGTATATTTTTTTTTTACTTTTTTTTTAAATTTGATTTTTATTTGTATTTAATAGTACTTTTAGTATAGTTTCTAAATATATAAATTTTGTATAATAATACTAATTTAATATTATGAAATATTGAATTAAAGATAACTTCGGCAAGCCTCATTAACCGAACCATACACATAAAATAGGACAGAAGGAGTATTAGAACTCTTTTCTTAATTAGGAAGGCAATTTCCTATATTAGGAAGCCTTTCTAGGAGGATTGAACAAAGATTTGAGGATTACTTTCCTATTTTGGTCGAAGGTCTCATGTATAAATAGTTAAATACCCTAAGAAAGGGTGAGAAAAGGGTTTGACTTTGATAAATACTCCATCTGTCTCATTTTTCTTGTTTTTTCTTTTTGGTTTATCTCAAAATAATGTCCTCTTTCCAAAATTAAGCATAACTATCATTCTACATTTTTCATTTACCTTTTTGACTTTTTCAAATTTCTAGACAATTAATTTGGTAGGTACAATTGTATATTGTAAAGTACAATGGACATTTGAAGGGCAAAATTGAAAAGTGAGTAACATTTGTTTTGTTGCATTAAATATCGTGCAAAAAGTAAATATGACAATGAATTCGAAAAAGATGGACTACAAGGCAATATAAGCTTTTATGCTCTTGTTCTTGCATTCACTACTTTCATGATTTTTTTTTAGAGTAAATACCCAAAATGGTCCCTCGACTATAGCTAAATTCACAAATTAGTCATCGACTTTTAATTTCAACCAATTAAGTCCTTAACTTTACAATTTTGACACGATTTGGTCCTCCATCTATTTGACCGTTTGTTGACCGCGATTTTTGAGGATATATATGTAGTTTCACATGCAAAGCTCAAGAGAACGCTCTTGGAGGTGACATCGTTGTTTCGGAGGGGGAAGTGCTTCTCCGCTTGCTGTTTGGGGATCACGAGTCGGTTCAGCTTAGAGAACGCTCTTGGAGGTGACAGCGCCGGCATGGGGTGCAGCGCCGGCAGTGGATTCAAATGTAACAGTGCGGTCTAGAAATGCAACCAGAACCTTAAAAAATCGATGATGGACCATGAAATTACATATATATCCTAAAAAAGTGCAGTCAACAAACGGTCAAATAGACAAATGACCAAATTGTGTTAAAATTGCAAAGTTAAGGACTTAATTGGTTGAAATTAAAAGTTGAGGACCAATTTGTGAATTTAGCTATAGTCAAGGGACCATTTTGAGTATTTACTCTTTTTTTTAAGTACCCGAACAGTTATGTTAGCCTGCTTGTGATCATCTAAAGGTCGTAAAACCAACATAAGCTATTTACCATTCAATTTTTTTTTAATAATATTAAGTTTAGTTTAGTTTAGTAAATACAATTTATTTATTTATTTAGAAACTATATTAAAATTACTATTAAACACACAAATTTAAAAAAAAAAATTAATAAGAAAATATTAAAGAAACTAAGAAAGAATTGATTTGACTAATAAATAGTAAATGTAAAATGTGAAAGAGAGTAATAATACCAAATTTGGATGAGGCAGTGCAAGGAGCTTGGGTTCTGCAAGTGTTAGGGAGGTGTTTGGTGCACCGGACGGAGAGAGAAGTGGTAGGGAGAATGATGATGAAGAAGAGCTGAGGTGGGCTGCTATCGAAAGACTTCCTACATATGATCGGTTGAGGAAAGGGATCTTGAAGCAAACGTTGGATAATGGAAAAGTTGTTCATTAAGAAGTTGATATTCAAAACCTAGACGTCCTAAGCGGGCTCCTATGAGACTAATTAAAAAAAAAAAAAAAATAGTGTATGTGTGTGAGTGTACATATGTCGTATTACACGCGTATGCCACACGCACTGAATTATTGTATATTTAAATAATAAATTTAAAAATGAAATTGTAAACAATTCTAATATTTGGAAGTGTACATTTATTTGATTATAATGTTAGTGCAAAAGTACCACTCAATTAATTGAATAATATATGACTTGTTTGTCTACATTTATCTTAAAAAATCAATAATATGCAATATGCTTTACGTAATTATATTATTATAAAAATAAATATGGAAAAAAGAGAAATAATTTAATTATAATTATTTTAAAAATTAATACAACAACCCATGTTTAGCTTAATTATCATAATAATTATTAGACAATTATTATTAGGCAATTACACTAATGGCTAACTGAAATTAAATACTAAGCTAGAATATTAAATAAGTTTGGATCCCTTTAATTTGATCATATATATGACCCATTTTCATCATCTACATATATAGTATACCTACGCAAATTATGATGTGCATGGTGTACACGATTGTAAAAACGATGTCGTTTTGACTAAAAATACGCGTCTCACTTTTTTAAAAAAAAATTAAGTTGATTCCCGGCAATAGCATTTTCTGTGTGCATAATTTGAATTATATATCCACAAATTCATAACTATATATCCACAGTGAATGAAATAATACAAAATTCAGAATGAATAAACTAAATATCCACAATGAATGAACTAAATATCCACAATGAATGAACAACCAGTGGCAGAGCCAGAAAGTCGGGGTTGGGGGGAGGGGGGGGGGGACAAATTTATCTAGGAAGTTTATCATCTTAGTCGATATTAGTACCAATCACACAATATTATTATATATATATACCATATATGATTGTGCATAATTATTTTTAATTATACTATGTGCAATAATATATGAAATATATAATTATATGAGTACGATCGTTAAGATTGTCAAACATTACTTTTGAATTTTTTACATAACACAAAAATTATACAATAGTAAAAAATAGGAAAAATTACACTTTTAATGACTAAGTTATATGGTAATTAAAGAATTCATAATTTTTAGTCGTGCTTATTTTTCATCCCTAAAATATACTCCGTAATTGATGTTGCAAATTTCGTCCATTTACTAACAAAACATTAGGAATAAAGTATAACTTAGAAAGGAAGAGTGACCACAACCTGTCATTAAAAGGACGAAATTTGTAACATCAATTATAGCTTAGGGACGAAAAGTGAACACGACCAACAATTATGGACGAATTCTACAATTATCTCATAACTTAGGGACGAAAAATGTAACTTTCGAGTTCATTTAATATATACATAATAGATTATTTTTTAAAACAAAATTAGAAGGGGGGCCAAAAGTGTAATTTATCCATATCTAAAAACATAATAAGCCTCAATTGAAGTTATATTATCCTTGATTTAAGTCTCTCTTTTTGTATGCAAATAAATGTGTACATTTTACTTTAAATGTTGTAACTTTAAATGTTGTACATTTCAATGTTATTAGACAAAACTACCCTTACACCGTTATAACACCGTTAGCTTTTAATTCTAACATTGATAACACATCATTATTACCATACACCTATATCTATCATATCTTTTTCCTATTTTTTAATTATCATTTTATTAAAATCATTATATACTAATTTAATGCTTAATTATATTTTAATTAAATTTCTATGAATGATAAATTATATATGTGTGTGTACAAAATACATATATTATTTGTGTATATATAATTCAAATTATAATTTTTAATTATTTGTACTTATCAATGTTTTAATATTGGGCATGAATGTTCGCGCATCACACGTACAAAATGCTAGTTATAATAAAATATACCTATATATTTACTAAAAATTGAGGGTGGGGTGGGGGGGGTCCCCACCCCAAGGGGTGACTCCGCCTCTGTGAACAACATAATACTGTTGAGGGGAATTGAAACTATTTTTTTTTTTAAATGGAACGCACATTTTTAGTTAAAACGACGTCGTCTTGCAATCGTGTGCACCATGCATGGTGCACACGGTTGCACAGCATAACTATTGGTATACCTAGCTAGCTAAATAGTTGGATCCCTTTAGTGCTAATGATCTTGGAGATTCAGATTAGAGATGAAGTGATAATCAATAATATTTTCATTGTCCAGCCTTGATATCTTTTTCACATTGAACTATTATAAAATTTATTTTCAAAAAAAGAACTATTATAAAATTTTCTACAAGTTATAATACCAAATTTATCGAGCCCACAAATAAAGAAAAAATTGTTTCTGTATAAAATCAAACTTAAAAGTATTTAATAGTTTTGTCTCATCTCTTTGACTTGTGTATTTCC